CCCTGTAAACCGCTTAGAGGGGGCTGTAAAACCACTGTGAAGCGGTACGTAAGTCTATAAAGTGCTATTGCTATTTAAATCCGTGTTTCCCAACTTGGCCAATTTAAGAGGGGTGGTCCTCAATCCCTCTAGCTGGGGAATTCTGGGAGTTGAAGCCTGCACCTCTTAAAAGGGCCAAGTTTGAGAGACACACTCCCCTTGGACAATTTCTGGAGTAGATCAGCAGCCAGCCAAGTGGATGGGAGACTGCACTGCTTGTGGCTCACACACCTGTAGTCTGATCAACCAGCACGCGCGAGTTGATGATGCGTCCGAACCGTGAAAACATGTCTTCGACGTCCTTCTGCGTCATTGTCCGTGGCAGCCCACTTATGTATAAGTTTGCATCTTTAATCACTTCAGAGCTTGGGCGAGCGTACGACACCTTGGGGGGAAAAATGGAATGCGTACGTTGAATTCACACAGCTGAAACACCCAAAGAAATTTCTGGGATTTGGTAAATATACGGACGGGGTCATGCCTGCAAAACATTATTTCAGATCAATAAATGATTCAAGAGATTGGATAACCACTTGTATGAAATGGTATAGGGTTTCCTGCCCAAGCAGGGGGTTAGACTAGAAAACCTCCAAGTTCCCTTCCAACTCTATGCCATGCCATGCCATGCCAGTCTACTCTCTATTCTACATTCTATTCTATTTCCATATTGTATTGTATTCTATTCTTATATTCTATTTTTCTATTCTATTCTTATTCCTATTCTATTCTTTCCATATTCTATTCTATTCTATCTTTCTATTCTATTCCCATATTGCATTCTATTCTATTTCAATATTGTATTCTATTATTATATTCTATTTTTTATTCTATTCTATTCCTATTTCTATTCTATTCTTTCCATATTCTATTCTACTTTTCTATTCTATTCCCATATTCTATTCTATTCCTATTTCTATTCTTTCCATATTCTATTCTATTCTTCTATTCTTCTTTTCTATTCCCATATTCTATTCCAATTTTCCATTCTTCATTCCAATATTTTTTTTCTCTTCTCTTTGTCTCAAAGGCAAGTTCAAAAGGCAACTGGACTGGGGTTTTTTCCCCTTTGAGTAGGAGGAGGGAGGGGGTTCACTTCTCATCCAAGAAGGTTTATCAGTTCTTCACCATTGTCAGAACTAACTTCTTCCATCCCTCCCACCATCCAGTCAGAATGGATGAAGCTTCTTGGATGGGAAGCAAAACATCGTCTCCCTCCTCTGGGGGAAAAAAAAAATACAGCCTTTTGAAGAAAAATAAAAGGCCATTTCAGACAACTGTGATTTGGATGACTGAGCAGCTCCAGAGCTGCCACAAGCAATGCGGAGAGATGGTGCTGAGGTTTGTGCTTTTACTTGCTTCTGTTCCCCAAAGGGTTTGAATCCTAATTTTTTGTCCAAAGCTAGTCCATTAACACCTTCCTGAGCAAATAAAATTGTTTTGCCAAACCCAAGAGCAGATAAATAAGCAGATAAATACACAAATGGAAAAAGCAGCAGTTCCTAACAGCAGGAGCCAGAAAGGTGGCACCTGCCGGAATCAAATACTATGCCAGCCTCTTCCAGCCTCAGACACCCCCCCACACACACATAGGAGACACTGAACAGTTCGTAATATTTTCATCTCACAGGATGCTGCAGGAGAGGCACTAAGCGGTGAAGCAAAAGACTAGCCCTCTGCAAGGACAACTTAACTCACAAACCTGTAACTCCATGAAGGATCCAAATGTTAACAGTCCCCAGTTGGACTTCCCAGAGCTGAAGAATGCCAGCTTTGAAGGGGACAAGGAGCTCATTCATAAGGGGTGTGGCACACGGCCAGATGATTCCAGTGGCAAAGCCAGGGCAGCTGGATTGCTCAGAGTGGAGGCCGCCTCCTTCCCGATTCTCCGAGGGAGGGTCTGTGCCATCCCCTGGGGAGCCACGAGACAGAGGAAGAAGAGAGCCAAACCCAACTCCCAGTTCTTACACTGACTTACCCCAGGGGAGAACCTTGGGTACGTATTATGCTTAGGGATAAAATATTCTTTTCCTCACCCTTTGCCCTGAAAGCTCTCAAGCTGCTCAGAGGGAGGGAGGGAGGGAGGGAGAGAGGAAGGAAGGGAGGGAGGGAGGGATGGATGAAAGGAGGGGGAAGCAGGCAGGCAGGCAGGTTTAATATATCTGAAATGTGTCAGCTATAGAAAGCTGGACAAACCCATTACTAAGATGCCTTAACGATTAGCTGGCTTGCAACACCCTTTTTTAAAAAATAAAATAAAATCTATCAAATGCCAAACTACTATCTCAGGAGAGACAGTCTTACAGGCATGTAAATGTCTCCCATAGGGGGACTGGCCTCCCCAGGGCAGAGTTCACTAAAGAGCAAGGACAAGTAATGCCATCTCCTTCATCATCATTTATCTGATGGATGAAACCCTGGCCCCAGCATATTCCTACACATTAAAAAATCCCATCAACAGATGAGTCCTTTTCCCCATGAAACTCTGTCCAGCTGCTCTTTGGGCGTTGGGACCATGGGAGGAGAGAGATCCAGCCACCTCAAGGAGGAAAGAAACGGTCTGCTGGGAAACAGGTGGAACAGGCCGTCTTCTGCCGTGGGTCGCTCAGGAGAAAGAAGAGCAGCCATCGCTTCTGGGGGAGGAGGAATGAGCACTGTAAGGTAGCCAGTTCTTGGCAGCCTAAGCGATCATTATGGACATTTCTTACCTTGATAGTTTTGGACTGGAGTCTCAGGCCATTCAGCGTGTTTATTGCTCTTTCAGCGTCTTTCGCGGTCACGTAATTCACAAAACCATAACCCAAGCTGTGTCCTGTAGGGAAAAAAAGTCTCTTTTAATTCTTTTCAGAGAGGAGAGAGAGGAGAGAGAAGGGGGGGACGACGACACCGTTCCATCATTCTCTGAAATGAAAATCCCACATTTCAAAAGAAAATGGGTTTTATAAAGGAAAATATAGATACAAAGCATAAACGGCTACCAAGACAGGAAAGTAATGGTAGCTCAGGGTTGAAATGAGGGCATCCTTGGTAGTCTCCGAGCTCGGTGGACTCCTCATAAATGGCTACATTTTCACCCTGGAGCCTGGGATGTACCCAAACATGCTGATAAGCTTCTCCTTACGAATCTGATATTTATTCCAAAAGCTTCTGCTTCTTCAGTGGTCTCTTTAATGGGGGGTAAGGAAGGGGTTAAATCCACCAGTGCCCTAGGAATTGCAAAGGTGAAAACAGCTCTTTCAAGACCCATCAAAGCTTTAGTAGATCACAGTAAATTTTAATTCTGCTTCAGAAAAGTCCTTTCGCTTATAAGCATGGCCTTCTTTTGAAAGTTACTGCAGAGGGTTAAAAGTGGGCTGCCATCCAGTAGCAGTCAGTGTGATTTAAAATACAAGGGGACTGGCACCACCATTCTTCTGGATCTTTTTTTTTAAAAAATATCTCTGCCCGGTCAGATCCATTCTTCAACAACTGTGTCAGAAATCAGGAGGCATGACATGTCATACAGTATGCCTTAACTTAACGAAACTGTGTAGGGTTTTCTGCTTAGGTGGGGGGGGGGGGGGGGTTTGGACTAGATGACCTAAAAGGTCCTTTATCTGTAAAAAAAAAACGTTCAGCCACACGCAGACAGTCAAGACACCAAGCTGACACCAGTTCATAGGTAAGGGAGACACATAATTAACTGCAAATAATTGTAATTTTGCATCAAGAGGAACAAAAGTCTGTTTTTTTTCCTTAGCAAAAAAATAAAATAAAATCGTTCTCCTGTCCTTTTGACAAGCAAGATTTCAGTACGCTACCGATTCCCCTTGACTTACAATGGTTTATTTAGCAACTGCTGGAAGTCGCAGGGGCACTGAAAAAAGTGACTGACGACCATTTTTCACACTTACGACCATTCATCATGCCCATGGTCATAGGATCAAAATTCAAACGCTTGGCAACTGACTCGTGTTTATGACGGTTGCAGTGTTCTAGGGTCACGTGATCCCCCTTTGCGACTTTCTGATCGGAAACCAGAATGACTGAACAACCATGTTACTACCCTGTTTCCCCGAAAATACGACCTACCCTGAAAGCAAGTCCAAGCTTGATTTTTACACGTGCGCCCAATATAAGCCCTACTCTCCAAAATAAGCCCTAATCAAAACCCCACCCATTCCAGAGTGGATAGGTGAAAATTAAGGCAGGGTGGGGATTGGGGGAGGTGGAGCTGCCTTACTACTTACCTTTGGGCAGTTGTAGCCAGGCCTCGCACACCCCGACACCTACCTGGCCGGCCCATTTCTTCTGCAGCCGGCAAGGCTGGCAAGGCTTCCCTGAAGGCCTCTGGAGCTGAGAGCAAAGCTCCGGATCGATCCAGAGCTCTCGTATCGGCTGCAGAGGCCTCCAGGAAAGCCTTGCCAGCCACAGTAGTAGTTCCTGAAGGCCTCTGACAGCGAAAAGGAGGCCAGGGGGGCAACCCGTGCAAGTGAGGTTAGTCAGTGGATGACATCCGCCCCAAAATAAGGCCTGGTGCTTTTTTAGGTGGCAAAAAAAATTGTAAGACGTGGTCTTATTTTTGGGGAAACACAATAACTTAACGGCAGTGATTCACTTAACAACAATGGCAAGAAAAGTAATAGAATAGGGGAAAATTTACTTAACAACTGTCTTGCTTATCAGCAGAAACGTTGGGCTCAACCGTCGTCATACGTGGAGGGCTACCTGTATTCAAAGAGGAGTATTTTACCTGCCACTTTGTCGCGAATCAGCTTGGCGGACTCCACCTCCCCTATGCTGCTAAAGAGACTCCGTAACTCGTCCTGGGTCATGTTCTGAGGAAGGTAGTTCACGATTAAATTTGTCCTGCCGATATCGTCCCTGCAGTCGTCAGCCATGTGGTCTTCATAACCATTAGACATTTTAACGAGAGATGAAACCTGTCAAGAAGGCAAGCACATTGCTCGGTTCTGGGTTTTTATGCTGCAGACAAAGGCAAAAATGGAATGGAAAAGGGCGCCCCCTAAAACTGCCTATCCCGCACATGCATTATCATAACCCTTAAGACTTATGTACCGCTTCACTGTGCTTTTACCGCCCTCTCTAAGCAGTTTACAAAGTCAGCGAGTTGCCCCCAACAATCAGGGTCTTCCTTTTACCCAGGAAGGCTGAATTAACCTGGAGCTGGTCAGGATCGAACTGAAGGAAGGCTGAATCAACCTGGAGTTGGTCAGGATCGACCAGCTCCAGGTCGACTCAGTGAGCAGTGACTTAGCCTGCAATACTGCATTCTGACCACTGCACCACCAGGGCCTTTCTTTCTTTCTTTCTTTCTTTCTTTCTTTCTTTCTTTCTTTCTT